CAAGTATTACCAAACTAGAAGACACTTACTATAGTTGAAACAAGAATTACCAAACTAGAAGACACTTATTATAGTTCACCCAAGTATTACCAAACTAGAAGACACTTATTATAGTTCACCCAAGTATTACCAAACTAGAAGACACTTATTATAGTTCACCCAAGTATTACCAAACTAGAAGACACTTACTATAGTTTACCCAAGTATTACCAAACTAGAAGACACTTATTATAGTTCACTCAAGTATTACCAAACTAGAAGACACTTACTATAGTTTACCCAAGTATTACCAAACTAGAAGACACTTATTATAGTTCAGTTTGGTAATACTTGAGTGAACTATAGTAAGTGTCTTCTAGTTCGGTAATACTTGGGTGAACTATAATAAGTGTCTTCTAGTTTGGTAATATTTGGGTAGAAGACACTTATTATAGTTGAAACAAGAATTACCAAACTAGGGTAATACTTGGGTAAACTATAGTAAGTGTCTTCTAGTTTGGTAATTCTTGTTTCAACTATAATAAGTGTCTTCTAGTTTGGTAATACTTGGGTAAACTATAATAAGTGTCTTATAGTTTGGTAATACTTGGGTGAACTATAATGAGTGTCTTATAGTTTGGTAATACTTGGGTAAACTATAATAAATGTCTTAAACTATAAGACACTCATTATAGTTCACCCAAGTATTACCAAACTATAAGACACTTATTATAGTTTACCCAAGTATTACCGAACTAGAAGACACTTACTATAGTTTACCCAAGTATTACCAAACTAGAAGACACTTATTATAGTTTACCCAAGTATTACCGAACTAGAAGACACTTATTATAGTTGAAACAAGAATTACCAAACTAGAAGACACTTATTATAGTTGAAACAAGTATTACCGAACTAGAAGACACTTATTATAGTTCACTCAAGTATTACCGAACCATAAGACATTTATTATAGTTCACCCAAGTATTACCGAACTAGAAGACACTTATTATAGTTCACTCAAGTATTGCCGAACTAGAAGACACTTATTATAGTTTAACCAAGTATTACCGAACCATAAGACATTTATTATAGTTCACCCAAGTATTACCGAACTATAACTATGAATGTAATAGTGTCAGACGTTAATTAATTAAAATGATTTATTTTCAAAATAGAAATTAGAACAACTCCTACAGTAGAAACTCTGAGAATGTATTTTAATTTTATTATTTTGAATTTCTCTATCAATGTTAGAATTGTTAAAAATAAAATCTACACATAAGCACAAAAAAAATGTTCTTCAGAGATAAAACTAATATGAGACAAACTCACGTGGCATGATTCCTTGTTCTACGAGTTGGGATATAGGACGACGTTGTAATAGTTTCTTTTTCAGAGCTAATGATATAAATTAAATTTTAAATAATCAAACCAAAAGTATTTTTAAAAAAATAGTAGATTTCAAAAGAAATATACGGTTGTAAAATAACCACATTCATGAAATATTGTTACAAACTATAATATTACATGTCATAAAAATATTTGCAGATACTGACCGTTTCAATTCTAGTAAGTGCCTAACTGTAGTCAGGTTATCTTACTGCAATGTCAGTGCAAGTCAAAGTAGCAATGTATTTTACAGTATGGTACTTAGTAAACAGCTGAAGTTAGTGCCGCTTCAACCAGTATATTGAATATTCTTTAATCTTCAAACACGATTCAGTACATTTATTACATATGGCAACTGTTTCATCTTCTAGACCTTGGAAGACTGAGTTTCTCTGAACACAAAGTTTTAAACTAGCAAAGAAATGCACGTGGTCTTTGTCAACTGTGTAATTCTTAGGCTATGTTCTGATCTACTTCTGCATAAGTACCAAAAATCCCTGTGTTTCCAAAACAATTTCACATCCAATTAAGATTTGATGTTTAAATCAATATTGTAAGTTTAGAAAATTAGAACAATAAAAGTAATAATATCTTGGGCTTTATGCAGGGGATTTCATAGTTCAAAAGTAAGCCTGAATGTTTAAACAGTGTGATGTTGTATTTATTTATGTGGATAAACAAACAAGAAAACTTGAAAGGAAAATATAATAGTTTTATTCAAAAATGATATTCAAAAGGTCAAATCAGTGACAGATCTACATAAAATTCTTAGAAATGTTTTTTCTATATATATTTAGCACTCCATAAATGACAAACTTCTGTGTTACTATAACAATTCACTGTTTATAATTCATGGATTAGAGTACCAAGAAAAAAAGAAGTATAAACATAAATTTTATTGTGTTTTATGCATGGTCACAAAACTTGTTTGTTTTACAACAATTACTCAATAAGTCTAATTTTTGACAGACAATTACAAAGCCTATTTTTTATATTTGTACTACCTTTGTAACATGCAGTTGCTAAGCCTAATTTATTCTAAGTAATAGTTTTGTAACACACACAGTTGCTAAGCCTAGTATATGCTGCGTAATAGTTCCATACACATATTGGAAAGTTGCTAAGCCTAGTTTATGTTATGTAGTGGTTTTGTAACACACAATTATTAAGCCTAATTTATGTTTTGTAGAAGTTTAGTAGCATATAATTACTAACTGACTAATCCTATATTTATTTTGCGTAATAATGTATCCCAATTAACTGACACATACTTTGTAATAGGTTAGAATATATACTCCTCAAGTCTAGTTTATGTTATAACACTTATATAACATAAAATTTGTGGATAACAATGAACATGTTCATCCCATACACTAAACCAAAAAAAACTCAAAGCCAGCCCTTATCATTCAAGTATTTATCAAGCCTTCTCATGAGCTTCCTTAAATTAATTGCATCTACCTCATCTGAAGACAATCCACTCTAAATGTCAACAACTCTGTTAAAAAACTAAAACAATCTTAGCTGGAGATGACTCCCACCCTGTCAAACTTTATAATTGTGTCCCCTAATCTTACCATTCTTTCTATTAAATATGAAAAAATACGATACGGTGACTCTACGTATCCCCTTACAAATTTTAAACACGTCGCCCTAATCTTACCATTCTTGCTATTAAATATGAAAAAATACGATACGGTGACTCTACGTATTCCCTTATAAATTTTAAACACGTCGCCCTAATCTTACCATTCTTGCTATTAAATATGAAAAATACGATACGGTGACTCTACGTATTCCCTTACAAATTTTAAACACGTCGAACAGATACCTTTTAACTTATTTTTCTCAAGAGAAAACAATTTCAGAGATCTTAAACTGTCATCATATGACAACCTTTCAGGCCAGGTATCATCCTAGAAGCCCTTCTCTGAACCTTTTCCAACAATTCAATGTTTTTCCTATGGTAAGGAGCCCACAACTACACACAGTACTCCAAATGTGGTCTAACCAAAGACCTATAGAATACAATTATAACCTCTTTAGGCTTTTATTCAACATTTCTGTAGATAGATTATAAAGCAGCAAAGTTCTCCTCATAGCCAACAACACCTTAATATCATCAGCAAATCTAAGTAACTGACCGACCTATCCTTCAATATGTTATGTACTACTACTACTATTTAGTTTTGTAAAATGTACAAAAATCACTGAACCTAGTTTATTTTGAAACCTAATTACAAAACGTATTTTATGTTGCATATACTAATATAGTTTGTAATCATTATAAGTATAACCCTAGCACTTTTTAAGTACTAACTACTAGAACTACTTTTTGTAACACACTGTCTTCAAGTTTAAGTCCACAACTGGTTTCTGTTGTGTATGTGTTTCGATTTTCGTGACAAATAATAATTAAGCCTATTTTATTTATTAGCTGGTTTTGTGACGCGTACTTACTTAATATTAATAATAATATTATGTACCAGTTTTGATACAAACAGACAATAATCTAGATGGTTTATGCTAAAACATTAGCGATCAGCTTACATTCTTTGTTCTTGTCCATAGACTTCTGAAGGGAACCTTCATCCACCACAGATTTTGGTGGAGTGTTGGTCTCACAGGACTGGAACAACGGGATCATCGTACTACTACTTTCACTTCTTACTCCTCCATTAGTGTTATTGGCATTCCAATCTGCCATTGTGGTCAAGTTCAAGTTATAGTCTTTAAACCACTCCGGATAGATGCTAATAATGGTCTCCAAGAGATCCTGGTCAAGTTGAATTCCCCAGTATATCTGGTTGTCTCCAGTTCCTGCAAAAACAAAATTAGGAGATGTCTAAAAGTGGGGGTCCTTAGGTAGAAAAAGGAGGAATGAGTTATGCTTCTTTCTACGACTTATTTTTAATATAAAACTACCAATCAAAGAATGTTAAACACATCATATATGTCTACTGAAGCTATAAAATTTAACACTTCACATCAGTACTATGTTACCCTGCACGTAACATTCCAAAATAAATCTTTAACACTAACAGCCTCATATACTCAAGTGAATAATTGAAACAACTCGGTCAATACAGCCATTTCAAATATAACAAGGAGAAGTGTATACATGAAGTTTCTGGCAAGCCTTCAGTTTATACAAAGGACAAGAAAAACTCAATTCGTTAAATTTACATCCAACTAAAAGCAGGAAAGGTTCTTCAAACAGTTAACAATTTGCTTTTCTTCACCGCAGGCTAAAAGAACTCGGCATCAGCCTCACGTCATCAAACTGTCCCAGCTGCCGAAGGTAGTAAAACAAACTCAACTCTTTCGAACCCAACACATGGTCTATATTGAAAATGTAGAATCATCTCTCAATGAACAACACACTATTAGAAAATTTTTATTACAAGATTATCGTGCGTTCTTCTAAATTCTGTTATGAATATTCAAATATCCCATTTTTCATACTGCCAGGCCTCCTTCAACATAACCAATCACCAGCTAAAGTTTTTATTCAAACAAATAATGAGAATATTTAAAAATAAGCATACGAAAAATAATTATCTAATTTGTTCAAGTTATTAAAAATACACTTCATTGTCCCATTTGTGTAGTCTTTATTAGTACAAAACATGTATATGCAATGCTTGATTTTCTTATCCAAAGGCGAAAAACTGTAATTAATTTTATGACTGTCTCAGTTGCATTGCGAATTAATATTTGATTGATCTGATTTCCCCTCATCCTCATCCAACTGGTAGCTTCAATACCCGTTATTTTTCACAACCAAAACCCCTCAACAGGGATCCATACTTTTTGTTCTTTTAGAAACTGAGCTCTTATTATTCGATTATAGATTCTCAACCATTAAACAGACTTGCTTTGGAAAAATGGTTAACTTTCCAGCTCACCAAGAATTAGTTTTGTGCAGCTCTTGTTGTTGTTAAGAGTTACTATCTGTTTAGATGCTTTGCTCGACGTCGCTTTTTGAAGCCAGATCGGTCCTTACTACGATCTCTGGTGAACGTCAAATCAGGATTTCCTAAACACGGTCGTAATTGCTAGCTTCTTATAGTGTGCGTGGCAACATTCCAATCATTCAACTTTTCACATTTTAGCGTGGAAAGGAAACTTTTCTAATTAATTTATCACTTGACTTGGTCATGACATTATAACTTCCCGTGTCGCTCTCAAGAGTTGTATCAAAGAAAAGGAGAATTCATGTAACGACCAATTACTGCTCTGTCTATAAGATACGTCACTTCCCCGTAAATGTTAATTACGTTATTATTCCAATCTCAAGTGTCAGTTCATGTGTATCAAGGGCTTTTAAGTATACACAGAACTATATAATATATATGTTAACCACTATTTATAAACCTTTGGCGATATAAACAATAAACTTAAGTAACATTATAACTTTTAATGTTTCTTTCAACAACATAAATGATAACTTTTTATCACTCGGAAATGGTCACTTTATTCATTGTTCAAGTTAAGGAAAGTTAACTTGGTTTATTGTTCAAGTTAAGGAAAGCTAACTTGATTTATTGTTCAAGTTAAGGAAAGTTAACTTGGTTTATTGTTCAAGTTAAGGAAAGCTAACTTGATTTATTGTTCAAGTTAAGGAAAGTTAACTTGGTTTATTGTTCAAGTTAAGGAAAGTTAACTTGACTGATTGTTCAAGTTAAGGAAAGTTAGTTGGATTCATTGTTCAAGTTAAGAAAAGTTAACTTGGTTTATTGTTCAAGTTAAAGAAAGTTAACTTGATTTATTGTTCAAGTTAAAGAATGTTAGCTTGATCATTGTAATCTCAGGAAAGTTAGTTGGATTCATTGTTGAAGTTAAGGAAAGTTAAGTTGATTCATTGTTATCTCAGGAAAGTTAGTTGGATTCATTGTTCAAGTTAAGGAAAGTTAACTTGACTTATTGTTCAAGTTAAGGAAAGTTAAGTTGGATTGATTGATTGTTGAAGTTAAGGAAAGTTAACCCGTTACCAAAAAGAGAAGATGTGTAAACAAAGTTTCATCAGACTACTGTATGGTTTTTTTAAGATTGTGAATTTGATTATAGAACAGTTTCTCATCAAATCATTTTAGATATCCTGCACGCGTCTCTTTCAAAAAAGAAATTCCAATATAGATGTCGTCCACGGAGTTACTGTACATCCAATGAGATTGTTACTACTTGAACGGTACTCCCCAGTTTTATTTTCTGCACAAGTAGATTCAGCTTTAATTAAAGATAAATCTGATCTTGTACAGACTATTTTTTTTTTTACCAATTTACATATGTTATGCTACTTGCCTTACACATTTTTCTTAACTTCATTTCATAATTAACAACTAGCATGCTTGATTTTATACCTGGCGGTTTTAATTACCGACTTAAAATAACATAATTCATAGCAGATTTACTGTTAATCAGAGAGCGACTAGTTTTTATCAGATTTATTTTAAATCAGAGATGGGCTAGTCTGTAGGAGATCTTCTTACGTGGTTTCACATGTACGTGGAAGAATTAGCAGGAAGGCGGGATTTTTTATTTTGTTCTATTTTACAAGATAAACAGTAAAAAAGGGGGAAATTGGCAGTGGGCCAAGGTGAGCAAACAACGTGGAATGCGTACGTGCGGTTTATTCGATACCACGAGGCAGTCCGTCCTAGCATTGTGATTTTCTGTCTCTCGTCCTTAAAGAAAAAAAATTAAAATGCCTTTAAAATAATTCATAAACTGTGTAAAAAAAAAACTGCAGGAAAGATAAATAAATCCGAGGAAGGTTTTCGGTTTTACTGACGTTCAAACTTTCACATTCCGCTTACATTTTTTTATCGTTTTGTTCAGTTTAATTATCAGCCCACTAAAGAAACCTACTCATATTTTTTTCTTCATTATTTTGATTATGGTAATTTCATTGTATTGTTCCTTATACAAACTCCAAAATTATTATCTATTTCATAAACTTATTTAAGAAGTTTAAAACTTCTTCACTTAAAACGAGTCTTAACTTCGTTCGGTAGAATTAATCTGATTTTTTTTTCAATGAAAACAGTGGCGTTTTGCAGTTAAGAAGTTTTACAAGGGTTATAATTCATCAGAATTTATTTGTTTATTTGTAGTTAAGCGCAAAGTTACACAATGGGCTATTTGTGCTGGGCCCACCACGAGTATCGAAACCCTATGACTTACCGCTAGGCCACTGGGGGGTGGGTGTATTCCTTAGAGAAAATATATTTTACAAATTGTATATATCGTTTTCCAAGTTCCATAATATTTCTGTTGATCTGTTTCCAAAGTTTGCTGTTAAAGGTATTTTTAGTTTAGGTTAAAGTAAATAGCTAAAAGTCAAAACCAAACAAACTGATTACATTACGTCACAATATGGGGCTTTCTTTATTCATTTGCTTTGCTCTGTGCACTGTGAATTCAACGAAACGAGTCTGATGCAGCGGGACTAGCGAATCAAAGAACTGTTTAAGCCTCTACGTCATCTTTTATTCACGTTTTGGTAAGGAAAATATAATCCGAAATCAACAATGCCTGATATTATTGTTTAAAGCACACAATTTCGCCCAACACTTAAATAATGAATTTTTTTCCCTTCGCATCGCAACAATATATTTTACTTTGAACCATTCTATAACTAAAGAATCAATTGTAATACTAACTGAGGCCAAAACAAAACAATCATGGCGAAATATTGGGCGTTTTTATAAAACATTCAACTGAGCCCACAACAAAACAATCATAGCGAAATATTGGGCATTTATAAAATATTCAACTGAGGCCAAAACAAAACAATCATGGCGAAATATTGGACATTTTTATAAAACATTCAACTGAGGCAAAACAATCATGGCGAAATATTGGGCGTTTTTATAAAACATTCAACCGAGGCCATAACAAAACAATCATGGCGAAATATTGGGCATTTTTATAAAATATTCAACTGAGCCCATAACAAAACAATCATAGCGAAATATTGGGCATTTTTATAAAGCATTCAACTAAGCCCAAAACAAAACCATCATGGCGAAATATTGGGCATTTTTATAAAACATTCTGGGGCGACTGATTAGTCGTTTGATATTTAACAAACGTAAACTGTGTTTAATCGTGTGATATTTAACAAACGTAAACTGTGTTTAGTCGTATGATACTTAACAAACATAAACTGTGTTTAGTCGTGTGATACTTAACAAACGTAAACTGTGTTTAGTCGTGTGATATTTAACAAACGTAAATATCACACGACTAAACACAGTTTATGTTTGTTAAGTATCACACGACTAAACACAGTTGATATTGTACAAACATAAACTGTGTTTAGTCGTCTGATACTTAACAAACGTAAACTGTGTTTAGTCGTTTGATATTGTACAAACATAAACTGTGTTTAGTCGTGTGATATTTAAAAAATGTGAACTGTGTTTAATCTTGTGATATTTAACAAACGTAAACTGTGTTTAGTCGTGTGATATTTAACAAACATAAACTGTGTTTAGTCGTGTGATATTTAACAAACATAAACTGTGTTTAGACGTTTGATACTTAACAAACGTAAACTGTGTTTAGTCGCGTGATATTTAACAAATGTAAACTGTGTTTAGTCGTGTGATATTTAACAAACATAAACTGTGTTTAGACGTTTGATATTTAACAAACATAAACTGTGTTTAGACGTTTGATATTGGACAAACTTAAACTGTGTTTAGTCGTGTGATACTTAACAAACGTAAACTGTGTTTAATCGTGTGATATTTAACAAACGTAAACTGTGTTTAGTCGCGTGATATTTAACAAACGTAAACTGTGTTTAGTCG